GAAGTTGTTGGTTGCTAACTGGATATTTTGGGAAGACCCAGGTCACTAGCCATAAACACATTCTGCTAAATGTTATTCCTTAGTCATTTAACTAAAATAACTCAGCCATGGCAAGCCTTAGTTTATTCTTTGTTAGTTTCTCTGGCATCAAACAACCAGCCTTCACTTCCAATTGATTACAATTTCTCATCAAGTTCCTGTAACATAATCTTTACTAGATCCATAAAGCTGTATGGAAATCCGATCACCTCAGATGGCCCCACCCAACAACCCTAGGGTTTTCACATTCTATCTAAATTAGATGTTTTAGAGAATGATGTAGAGATGAAATATTTACTGAGAACAATGGCAGTACACTGGGGTACCCGAAACACTACTGGGTCAGCAATCAGAAGACTTGAGTCCCAGTACAGGCAAACCAGGCAAAGCAGCAATAAGGCAAAGTCTTCTCACCTTACCGAATCTCAGTTGCCCAACCCCCTGGAAAGAAGAGGGATCACTAGATCAATCACTTTCAACACTTTAGGCCACAGAATCCTTTCTTTAAACAAAATCTCATGAAAAAACCCTCTACAGAAAACAGATAAAATACTGTTAGGGACCTGAGGCCTCCTGCTGGGCCCTTCAAGCTTCCCATCAAGCACCTTCAAGAAGCCAAAGTCCCTGTGGCTCTAGCATTCTAGAATGTGACTATGTTCTAACAAATTATATTGCAGATTTCAACACACATCTTGCAAAGTGGAAATCAAAATTCTGAAAGGAACATGAGCACATCAAATCTGCACTAGAGTAATGCCACTTCCTTTGTAATGCTGATGAACTTTTCTGTCCTAGGTTGTCAAAGCCCTTGCTTATAATAAAGGTCTTTTTTTTGAGGGATGGGGGTATGTCAGGTGATCAAGTGACAATCCAAATCTCTGTCTCTCTCCTAACCATCTTTCCAGTAAAACTTCCCTTAGATCCCGTTTAGCCCTTCATCTGAGGATCAGTCAAGGAGAATGTTCTGAATTGTAGTTTAGCGCAGGAAGACAAGATGTATGTTTCTATATTATATATGTACTCACGTATGTAATGTATTTTTAATCCTATAACAAATGGTAGGATGTGGCTGGTACAGAGTGGGGTATCTAAAACTCAGTATGAAACTTAAGTCTCACTGGTTTGAAAAACCAAAAGACAGGGATTTGGGTGACCACAGCAGCTTAAAACTGAGTGAGAAACTCTTGGAAAACAGTTAACAGAGGAGAAGTTCACAACTACATTTAAACTCTGCCCAAATCTCTTAAACTATGCCAAGTGTGAGACAGCTTTCAAGTAGCCCAGCTGAGACTAAAATAACTGAGATTTCAGGTACTGCCTACAAGAAAGGAGACAGAGTATAGAGTTTGAGTGCCAAGTTAACTTCCTGCTTAACTAAAAAACTGAGCACTCTTCCAAAGAATAACAGACACCTATCATAACAATGTCCAAGATACAATCCAAAATAATTAGATATACCAACAAACAAGAAACTTGACCCATACTTAAGAAAGCAGGCAACAGAGTCCAATCTTCAGATTATCCAAATGTTGCAATCAGTAGATAAGGTTTGTATTTTAAGGCAGCTAAATAGGGGCACCTGGGTGGCTCAGTCGGTTAAGTGTCCGACTCTTGGTTTCGCTCAGGTCATCATCTCAGGGTCATGTGATCGAGCCCCACATCAGGCTCCGTGCTCAGCGCAGAGTCTGCTTGAGATCCTCTCTCTTCCTCACCCTCTGCCCCTCCCCACCTCTGCTCTCAAGTGCTGTCTCTCTCTCTCTCTCAAATAAATAAATAAAATCTTAAAAAAAATAAAGCAGCTAAATAACTATGCCAAAGGGCATAAAGTATGTTCATAATAAATTAAGAAATAGGAAATCTCAGCAAGGAAAAATGATAGCAAAAAAAGAACAGAATGGAAATTCTGGAACTAAAAAATATTATATCAAAATTTAAAAATCATTGTGTGCACTTAAGGTTAACTCAGATTAGGGATGACAGAGAAGTCAGTAAACTAAACACAGATTAACAGAAATTATCCTATCTAAAGAACAGAGAGGAAAAGATTTTTAAAAATTGAACAGAGCTTCAGGGTCCTCTTAGACCATACTGAAAAGACAGACATGTAAGAAACTGGAATCAGAAAAGAAGAGAGAAGGAATGGGCAGGAAAAAAACTCTAGCAGCATTTAAAAAAAAATTTAATACCCTAGGCATATCCAGCCAAACTGCTGAAAACCAAACTTAAAGAAAAAAAAAATCTAAAAGCAGGCAGAGAAAAGTGACACATTATCTATAGGGATACAAAGATATGAAAGACTTCTCATCAGAAACAATGGAGGCCAGAAGATAGTGGAAAGGCATTTTAAAAAGCTGAAAGGAGGGCTCCTGGGTGGCTCAGTTGTTAAGCGTCTGCCTTTGGCTGGGGTTATGATCCCAGGGTCCTGGGATCGAGTCCCACATCAGGCTCCCTGCTCGGTGGGAAGCCTGCTTCTCCTTCTCCCACTCCCCCTGCTTGTGTTCCTGCTCTCGCTATCTCTGTCTTTGTCAAATAAATAAGCAAAATCTTAAAAAAAGAAATAAATAAAATTAAATCCTGAAAGGAGGGGCGCCTGGGTGGCTCAGTTGTTAAGCGTCTGCCTTCGGCTCAGGTCATGATCCTGGGGTCCTGGGATCGAGCCCTCCATCGGGCTCCCTGCTCAGTGGGAAGCCTGCTTCTCCCTCTCCCACTCCCCCTGCTTGTGTTCCCTCTCTTTCTGTGTCTCTCTCTGTCAAATAAATAAATAAAAACAAATAAATAAATAAAATAAAATGTTGAAAGGATTAAAACAAACAAATGAGAAAAACCCAATCAACCCAGAATTCTATATCCAGTGAAAATATCCTTTAAGAATAAAGAGAAAATAAAAATACTTTCAGATAAATGAAGATCAAGAGTATTTGTCACCAGCAGACTTACACTATAAGAAACACTTAGAGGGGCGCCTGGGTGGCTCAGTCGTTAAGCGTCTGCCTTCGGCTCAGGTCATGATCCCAGCGTCCTGGGATTGAGCGCCACATCGGGCTCTCTGCTCCACAGAAAGCCTGCTTCTCCCTCTCCCACTCCCCCTGCTTGTGTTCCCTCTCTCGCTGTGTCTCTGTCAAATAAATAAATAAAATCTTTAAAAAAAAAAAAAAGAAAGAAACACTTAGAGTGAGAGACAAAGGAATAATTTGATGCTGTACTATGGGGGACTAACATTAAGCAGCGGCATGCTCAGCTCCTGTTATATTCCACCAACAATTCCGCACTCAGAAGTCTTCTATTCACTACACACTTTCAAGCCTCCATGCTTTTACTCATACTACTTCTGATGCCAAGAATGCTCTGATAAGGGGCGCCTGGGTGGCTCAGTCGGTTAAGCGTCTGCCTTCAGCTCAGGTCACGATCCCAGGGTCCTGGGATCGAGCCCTGCATTGGGCTCTCTGCTCGGCGGGGAGCCTGCTTCTCCTCTCCCTCTGCCTGCCCCTCTGTCTGCTGCTCTGCCTACTTGTGCTCTATCAAATAAATAAATAAAAACCTTAAAAAAAAAATGCTCTGGGGCGCCTGGGTGGCTCAGTCGGTTAAACGTCTGCCTTCAGCTCAGGTCATGATCCCAGGGTCCTGGGATCGAGTCCCGCATCGGGCTCCTTGCTCAGCAGAGAGACTGCTTCTCCCTCTCCCTCTGCCTGCCTGCCGCTCCCTTGCTTGTGCTCTCTCTCTCTCCCACTATCTCCCTCTCTCTGTGTCAAATAAATAAATAAAATCTTGAAAAAAAAATGCTCTGATAAGATTGGAAAAGCCCTACTCATCCTACAAGACAGAACTAAAATGGCCCCTTTGTACAAAATTTTAGTTTCATACCTTAGCCATTTTGCTTCCATAGCATGTTTTTTTTTTCCTGATACCATTTTGTACATGCACACACACATCAAGGGCATCAATCATACTCTACTATTACTTATGGGCCTGTCTTTCCACACAGATTATGAATTTCACAAAGGTAGAAACCATTGCTTTTTACCCTGTACTCTCAGCATCAAAGAAGAATTCCTGGCATTGTATAAAGACTTGAACCACTCTTCAGCAATGACAGGCAATATTCTAAATAAAGCCTTGAACTCATGCACTGAAACAACTCACAAAGAGATCAGGTTAAGGTAATGCCGAATAATCTGTTCTTCTCACTTACTAGTTAAGCTATCATTTTCTGAACCACCTGCATTCTCTAACTGATTTGAACTTAAGTACTAAAAATGAAAACACTCTGCTTGTAGATGAGCTATACATTAATGAACTAAGCTCTAAGTCTTAAATAAAGTGACATATGTTAATGATGAGGAACAGGAGATGGCAGGCATTTGATCTTCTCATTTTGATGGCTTTAAATATACTGACATGACATAATTAGAACCTGCTTTTATACATACACAGGGCACATCAAAATTCTTTGCCCTAAGCAAGCCAAGAGTGAAAAAAAAAAAAAAATTTATTTTTATCACTCTTCTGAGCACATATACCTGTTCAAAGAGACAATGACAAATTCTCACGGATACTTTTTCAGATACAGTCATACATACATAAAGTTATATGTTAAGATATGGGTGAAAAAAGAAAAAAAAAATAAAACTCTTCCATTCTTCCTCAGAACCACTAATCCTTTTTGCTTTCAAAGAAAGAGCATTCCATTCATAGGTTTTACAGTTCTATAAATTCATAAGAATAAGCCAGTTTTCCCCTTAGCTGTTTACCAGGTAAGTTTACTTGGGTTTTTACTGAGAATTAGAGCACTTTTTATAGAGGAGATCACCATTTACACAATCTATTACTGACTCATAAGAAGAAGAAAATAAAAAAAAAGCAAGTACTTTAATTCTGGGAATTAAGGAACTTTCCTTCTGTTCTTGAATTCCGTCACCACCCTGGACTAACTTAACACCCCTGCTGGAAGCTGGCAAACCTACCATTTCCGCTGCTGCAAATTCATACAAAAGAAACAGTTGGTGGTGTGAAGGTCAAGGCAGCTTAATCATTTGTTCACTAAGCACTAAGGAATTTTAAAAAAGGAGAAAGATAAAATGAGAAAAGGTAATTAGATTTATTTTCAGTTAATGATGTATCACCCTGTTTCAATCTATAAAAAGCAACTTTATCCTATCTTGGGCTGGGGAACAAATATTAATTTTATTTATTTTTTATTTTATTTTATTATGTTAGTCACCATACAGTACATCATTAGTTTTTGATACCCCAGAGGAGGGGGCACTAATTGATCTTTTAAAAAAATGTGACCCTAAGAACGGCTAACATTCTGTGTCACTGTCTTCTGATTATCATAACATGGTGAGGTTGTCCACCAACCCCCTTTCACCTTTGTGAAAACGGAGACTGAGAGAGACTCCAAGAGGCTGACATTCCCAAGGATACTTAGCCAATAAAGTAGCAACAAGATTCAAACACTGGTGTTTTACCCCAAACACTGTACCTCCTCAACCTTCCAATGCATTCCTCCTCTCTCCCCATCACTTTAAAGTTTCTGAAGTAGGGGGGCATCTGGGTGGCTCAATCATTAAGCTTCTGCCTTTGGCTCAGGTCTTGATCCCAGGGTCCTGGGATAGAGCCCCACACTGGGCTCTCTGCTCAGCAGGAAGCCTGCTTCTCCCTCTCCCACTCCCCCTGCTTGTGTTCCCTCTCGCTGTCTCTGTCAAATAAATAAATAAAATCTTTAAAAAAAAAAGTTTCTCAAATAGGAATGTGTCTTAAAATCTATTATATGATCAGTATAGCATTATTTCTGCTTTCCTTTGAAACCTCTTAAGGCAATGGTCAATCATTTAATTAATAACATCCTAGCATGGGAAAAAATATGTACAAGATGAAAACCAGATTCACAAATACTTACGTGAACTAGTAATACATCATAAAATTGTGTTAGTTTAGGTTCAAAGTTCAACCTTGGTTTCATCTGCTTCTACTCTGAATGACTAATATAATAGAAATAATTTTAGGGGTGCCTAGGTGGTTCAGTCGGTTAAGTGTCTGCCTTCAGCTCGGGTCATGATCCTGGAGTCCCAGGATCGAGCCCCACGTCTGGCTCCCTTCTCAGTGGGGAGTCTGCTTCTCCCTCGTCCTCTGCCCCTCTCCCTACTCCTTCTCTCTGTCTCTCTCTCACTCACTCTCTCAAATAAGTAAATAAAAATTTTTTTAAAAAAATTTTTAAATGGTTTTTTTTTTTTTAAAGATTTCATTTACTTATTTGACAGAGAGAGAAACACAGCCAGAGAGGGAACAGAAGCAGGGGGAGTGGGAGAGGGAGAAGCAGGCTTCCCGCCAAGCAGGGAGCCCGATGTGAGGCTCCATCCCAGGACCCCGGGATCATGACCTGAGCCCAAGGCAGATGCTTAACAACTAAGCCACCCAGGAAGCCCTAAATGTATTTCTATACCCTCATAATTGATAATGATTTTTTAAGTGAAGCTATCGGGAGAAAAATTAACCTTTTAATTTCAAAAGAAACAAAGGTTCCATGAAGTCAAGGACCATAATTATGTGTCAGTTTTGTTTAAAACTGTATAATAAGCACCCAGCCCGGAGCATGATACCTGTCTGTGCTCAATTTTGTTGAGTAAATAAATGAACACTCTATCAAGGAATTATTACTAATGTGATAATGATCTCTTAAGGATGGGGGAAGATGACTGAAGCAGAGAGATGCCCTTAATTCATCCTAATATTATACCCCCATCATAATAAGGGGAGCATTATTGCCATGAAGGGAATAGAGTTAGTTGGTTTAATAACACCATCACTCACATTTAGTAAAGGAAGTGGATTCTGGTTAACACTATAGAGATGTTACTGATATATGTAAATACAGTCACAATCTTTCACAAATAAAAGACTTTAAAAACATAAATTCAGGAAACCCAGTGGTCAAAGTATCTAATCACTTTAGCAATTAAACTACTGACAGTTTCAAGGCACTAATAACAGAAATGTTTCTCATTCTCCTAGATGCTATACTCTAATTTACTATCAGAAGACTTCTCTGTTAAAACAAGCAAGGCCACCCCCAAAGCTAGAGGTAACCTGCATAAAATATACATGGTTTTTACATGTTTAGCATAAAAATTAACCCTGAGCTAATGAAATTATAGTTTTATTCACTGAAACGAAAACATGAAAGATTATCCTTTAATACATGGTCTCAGGTTGGTGGTGAACTGAAGGCTTAAGATGAACAGTCCTGGGTAAAATGATGCAGTAGCTGTGAAACCAGCTGGGGAATCCTCAAAAAATTAAACATAAAATTGCAGCATGACCCAACAATTCTACTTCTGGGTATATACCCCAAAGAATTGAAAGCAGGAACTCAAACAGACATTGATATACCATGCTCACAGCAGCATTACTCACAACAGGCAAAAGGTGGAAGCAACCCAGTGTCCACTGACAGATGAATGGATAAACAAGATGGGGTCTATACACACAATGAGATATTATTTGGCCTTAGAAAAGGAACGAGGGGCACCTGGGTGGCTCAGTAGTTAAGCGTCTGCCTTCGGCTCAGGTCATGGTCCCAGGGTCCTGGGATCGAGCCCCGCATCGGGCTCCCTGCTCGGCAGGAAGCCTGCTTCTCCCTCTCCCACTCCCCCTGCTTGTGTTCCCTCTCTAGCTGTCTCTCTCTCTGTCAAATAAATAAATAAAATCTTTAAAAAAAAAAAAGAAAGAAAGAAAAGGAACGAAATTCTGACACATGGTACAACATGGATGAACCTTGAAAACATGCTAGTCACAAAAGGACAAATATTATATGATTCTACTTACATGGAATCAAATCCACAAATATGAGTGGTCAAATTTGCAGAGACAGAAAGTAGAATGATGGTTGCCAGGGACTGAGGGGTAGGGGTAATGGAGAGTCAGTGTAGGATTTTCAATGTAGGATGATGAAAACATTTTTTAAAAAATATTTTATTTATTTATTTGACAGAGAGAGAGAGATAGCGAGAGCAGGAACACAAGCAGGGAGAGTGGCTCGATCCCAGGACCCTGGGATCATGACCTGAGCCGAAGGCAGACGCTTAACGACTGAGCCACCCAGGTGCCCCAGATGAAAAAGTTTTAAGATGGATGGTGGTGATGGTTGTACAACAATGTAAATCTACTTAATGCCATAGAACTGTCCAGTTGAAAATGGTTAAATAGCAAGTTTTATGTCTATTTTAACACAATAAACGAGAAAGATTAACAGCACTGGAATTACTGAATATAGGAAACCAGAAAGTAGCATCTGGACATACGAGAGGATTAGCTGGAGGATTCTGCAGGAATACGGCTACCGCAGGCAGTCACACTGGTTAAGTTTAACCCCCTGAGACTCTAGAGGCATGACATTTATAGTTTGGCCTACTCCTCCACATTTTTTACTCTAAGGGTTCAGATCACACTGCCTAGCCCACCCTACGACACCAGCACATTTCAAAAGACCTCTTATCTAAAGAAGGTGTGAAGAAAGGAGGAGTGCCTCCACTCAAACACTTGTCACCGGGACTGAACAGGCCTTCACACTTCAAAGGTGAATTTAGATAGGCACTCCAGACAAAATACTACTAGGCTGTTGGCAGGGATTTGTCATATTCACATGCATACCAGATTCAAGACCAATCATTCACCTCACTGTATTCTTTTGACCTTCTAGCTTCTTAGTTTTTGAAAAAAAAAAAAAAAAAAAAAGAAGTAGGCAAACTGTGATCTCAAATGAATCCATGTTTTTATGTTTTCCTTCCTAAAAATCACATAACAGTTGGCAAAGTAGAAGAGAGCAAAAAAAGAATAAGGTACACCAGTATGAACTCCAAATGGATTGGCTCATCATCTAAATGCAAAGAATGAAACCAAAAAAGTACTAATAGAAAACAAGGATGAATTTCCTTGTAACTTTGGAGTGCAGAAGAACTTTCTAACCATAATTCAAAATCCAAAAGCCATAAAAGACAAATTTGATCAAAAAAGAAAAAAAAAATCCAGCAAACAAAATTTTGTGTGGCAAATACCACTGTAAGTAAAACTGAAACACAAATGACAAACTGGAAAAATTATGTGCGACTTACAGCACCCAGAGAGGGCTAATCTCCTACATAGGAGCTAAAAATTCAGAAAAAGACCAACAACCCAATAGAGAAATAGGCAAAAGGCATACAAAGTCTCTTGCCACCAAAGAAAGAAAAGAGTATATGAACAGCTCTTAGACAAACAGGGATGCTCAATCCAAAATGCAAATTAAAGCTACAACAAGGTAGCAATTCTTATCTATCAGATGGGTAAAAACTCAAAAGCAATTTCTGTGGGTGAGGATGGCAGAAACATGCATTTTCATACCTTGCTCTTGGGACTAAAAAATGGTATAACCCCAGTTTGCCAAGTTTATAAATTCCTATTTTGGTGTAGCACCTACTCTTCGTTTAACATACACTTCTCAGGTGCATCCTATGTACTATAGACAGGTACATAGATACTTTAAGGTATATATAAACAATGAAGAAATCACTACCTTCAAAGAGTTGGAGAGGAAAGGAGAAAATATAGATAAAAATAACAAGTAGACAAAAACAGATAAAGCTCCTACAATGAAGAATATGACCAATCATTATGGAAACTTGAATCATTCTATATTAGTTTCCCCATCACTCACTCCACTTTATATCCCCAAACAAGCAAACAAAAAACCCCAATTCATTAAAAAAAAACCCAAAAAACCCCAATTCATTATGTTCTCTTAAAACTAATTTATGCCATGGGCGCCTGGGTGGCTCAGTTGGTTAAGCGACTGCCTTCGGCTCAGGTCATGATCCTGGAGTCCCGGGATCGAGTCCAGCATCGGGCTCCCTGCTTGGCAGGGAGTCTGCTTCTCCCTCTCCTGCTCCCCCCTCTTGTGCTCTTTCTCTCTCTCACTCTCTCTCTCAAATAAATAAATAAAATCTTTAAAAAAAAACAAAACAAAACTACTTTATGCCACAGTGTGTATCTGAAACCAAGTGGCCTACTTCTTTGCCTAAGAATGGCCTCACTGGGGAAATCATAGTACGTCTATAATTTGAATTTCTGAAAGCCTCCTATTTTATGGCTGCTCACTTCACAGGCATCTTCACAATTACCATGTAACCTAAGATCCTAAAAAGTAAATAAACAACAAAACAAAACATGGAAATAAAACAAGCATTTTAATTCAAAGACAGAAGCATATTTTTCATAGTAACACTTCAAATGCTAAGGTATGTCAGACTGGATAGAAGTTCATAATCCTCCAGTACATATGCTAACAACAATTAGTGAGGAACAGGTACAGAAACCATATGCAGCTAGTAAAATAAAAAATTATAAAAGTAGGTCGCTTCGGTAATTTTTCTAAGACTTTAAATATATTAGAATACCTTGTTTAAAATTGGAGTAATAAAATTAACCACCCAAGACAAGCACCACTCAGGATGCAGCAACAAGTTAGAACTCACCATTGATCTTGGGGAAGAAAACTATATAGCAAAAGAAAGAAATCTTTCAAATACAACACTGTTATATTAGCTATGCAATACTATCGCTCTTCTATGCTTTTCTCTTATTAATATCAGTGCATGGAATGGGACAAGTAGAAATAAAAATTGTGAGTATGGGGGTGCCTAGGTGGCTAAGTCGTTAAGCGTCTGCCTTCAGCTCAGGTCATGATCCCAGGGTCCTGGGATCGAGCCCTGCATCAGGCTCCCTGCTCAGCAGGAAGCCTGCTTCTTCCTCTCCCACTCCCCCTGCTTGTGTTCCCTCTCTCGCTGTCTCTCTCTCTCTGTCAAATAAATAAATAAAATCTTTAAAAAAAATTATGAGTATGCATTCTTCCTGGCTCAAAACACATTGACTATATGCGTGTGTGTGGAGGGGGGGTTGCTGCCCCTTTCCTCCCTTTCTCTGTACTCAGTAAGCAATTATTTTATTAAGCTGTGCCAGTCTAGGATCTACTGTTCCTATTTTAACTTTATAGCACATATTATACACTGTGGTTCTCAGGGGTTAGCATATCATGCTGGTCCACTGCCTGTTTTTATAAATAAAGGTTTACTGGAATACAGTCATACTCATTTACACATTGTCTATGGCTACTTTCATACTATAATGGCAGAGCTGAGTAGTTACAACAGTCTCTGCCTGAACCTTCAGGGATTAGCAGACTATGGCTGGCCCCTTGCCCAGTTTTGCAAATAAAGTTTTGCTGGAACACAGCCACATTCATTCATTTACATACTGTCTAGGACTGTTTTCATACTATAACGGCAGACTTGAGTAGTTACAACAGAGTGTATGGTCTGGTCTGAAAAGGAAATACAAAAATATGTATGATCCAGACCTTAACAAAAAATTTGCTGACCGCCATGGTAAATGAGCATTGCATTCCTGATAAAATTAACTGCTAAACAAACACCTCACCAGACTCTCTGAAATAACAGAAAGGAGTTTAAAGACCAGCTTGAGCTGAACTTTCTCAATGATCATTCTTAACATTTCTTTCATTTTAAAAACTCTAATCACTGTCTGAAACAGTGATTTCTAGGTAGCAATGCAAATGGCGCATCTAAAATGACTACTGTGAGCCATCACACATAAAGCAGTAATATCTGAACGTAATTTAAAGTAGAACTGTTCTTAGTTGCTTAAAGTAGAATGTATACATCATTGTGTTTTATTAATATTTGGACATAAGCTACAATTAAAAATTTCAGATTTAAATAATCAAATTTAAGAGCAATATTCTGGAAATCAACGGATCGCTGCTAAACCAACAAAAGAGATCTATGTTGTTAATGTCTTGGTTTTCATGTTTAGATAGACTAAATAAAATGCTTCACTACAGAGACATTTTCGAAAGATGTAGTATACACCTCAGCTACACAAGAACACAACTTCTGGTGGACATACCCACTTAGCTGCTCTATAAACATCTCCAATGGCTCATCTTCTAACCAAGCTACCCTTCATGCCTCTATTCCTCCCCTCTTACTGACACTAGTCTCCATTTGGTCACCAAAGCCACACGTGGGACTTGAGTTACTTTCTCCTTTCTCCTGCTTTACCTCCATGTATGTCTCAACTTTGCCCCCTCTTTTTCATCCCTCTCATCATGGCAATAGTTCAGAACATAATGATTTTATGCTAGACAATTCAGATAGTCTTCTGGTATTTCTCCACTTTGTCAGGCTCCTCTCTCACATCTATCCTCCAGAAAGCAGTTAAGTGTCAGAAAATGATGCCAGGAAGTCTTGAGACCTGGCTGCACTTAATCTACAAAAGGAGGAGGTGGGAGGCAGCCAGACAGAAGGAAGAGCATTCACAAAAAGTCAATCTGGGTGAGTGGGACATGGAAACTGTCAGGCAAGTCAGAATGACTGGAGTGTTGGATGAGAGATGAGGTGGGGAAAACATTAAGCAGCAAGATCATGAAGATCTTTGCAAGTTTCAAACTATAATTCCATTTCCTACTTATTCTCACATGCCAGGCCAACCAAAAAATCTGCTGCCGTTGACAGTATTCAGAAGAAGAAATACAAGTCTCATGTGCCAACTTCCCCATGGCAATGCCTGCTGAATGGCAGTGTGTTCAAAGCTGAAATATAAAAAGTTCTTAAGCCAGAGACTTTAATTAACCCCTCTCACTTTTTAAAGTCCTATTTCAAACCTTTCTGCCTGAATTTTCCCCCACGAATCAAATGTTAGGTTTCTCTCTGGGCTCTTTCAACCATCTATACTCATGTCTTGGCTCTCACTGTTTTTCATTATGAATGTGTGATAATCATGGTGGCCAAATGTAAATTCTGTAACACAGACTTGAGTATCTCAACTGTGAATAACCTAAAATCATCAAATTATTACATTTATTTGTGTTCCTGAAGTGCCCAAAGGCACTGGAGTATAATAGAGAAGAAATGATACTGGGGCACCTGGGTGGCTCAGTTGGTAAAGCATCTGCCTTCGGCTCAGGTCATGATCTCAGGGTCCTGGGACCAAGCCCCATGTTGGGCTCTCTGCTCAGCAGGGAGCTGCTTCTCTCTCTAATTCTCCTCTGTGCTCTCCCTCCCTCCCTCTCTCTCTCTCAAATAAATAAATAAAATCTTAAAAAAAAAAAGAAAGAAAAAGAAAAAAAGAAATGATACTGAGAGGACCAAACCCGTTCTTCACTTTTGTATCTTTAGATGGTTGTAATGAAGAAGGAACCTAAGAGCTCTAAAAATGGGATATGGAAACCATGTTTGGTTTTATGGCTACTTCTCACCCCAATGGATCAGTAATCTAGACCTATACACATTTAAAACAGCTTTAGAGGTTAGGTTGGTTAAGTGTCTGCCTTCAGCTTAGGTTGTGATCCCAGGTTCCTGGGATCAGCCCCGCGTAAGGCTCTCTGCTCAGCGGGGAGAGTGCTTCCCCCTCTCCCTCGGCCTGCCGCTCTGCCTACTTGTGCTCTCTCTCTCTCTCTGTGCCAAATAAATGAATATAATCTTTTAAACAAACAAACAAATAAATAAACAAAACAGCTTTAGAGGATCCACTGGGATTCTAAAACATTTCTAGTATTAAAGTAGTAAAGGCTAATTTAGGGTGTGAGAGCAAGGAAGAATGTATGTATTTAATACTGGATATGGTCACTCACCTGTCGAATTGACATGGTACAGAGAATATACAGAAAAATGAAGGAACAGTCTGTGGTGTCATCCCCTAGCAGGTTTCGATGAGACAGTCCTTGGATATAGGAAAGAGGGGTGAAAGGGAGCTTTGCCACCACTCTACCATCAAATCTAAAAAGGAAAAAACAAAGAATTGTTATTTTTGGAAGACTGACAAGCTTCTTAGTTCCAGGGAAGAATCTGAGACAGAAATAGAACTCTAAGTCCCTTGATCTCTAAAAAACAAAGAATGATATCTAGTATATGTGCTGCTGAAGCGAGCACAAAGAATGATATTCTAAAAAGAGACCTAAAGAACAAGGATGTAAGGAAGGGCCTAGATTTTTCCATCAATCTTTTTCTAAACTAGTGATTCTTAATTTTTTCAGTATCAGAAGCCCTGAACACTGAAAAATTGAGATTCCCTACATTGTTTCAAGGTTATAGCTATCACTATTTAACTTCTCTATAAATTAAAACTGAGGAATGTTAAAAAATATTTACTAAATCATTCAAAAGGTGGCAATAAATTCATATGTTAACACAAATATTTTTATGAAAAATAACCATCTTTTCCAAAACAAAGTGAAAAGAAAGGCTTTTCTTTTGGCAAATGTCTTTCATGTTTTGTTTAATAGAATACTGCTGGATTCTCATAGCTGCTTCAGTATTCAGGCTGTTGCAATAATACACATCATAGAGCCCTGAAGCCTCTGGAAAATTCCACTGTACACTAAAAAGAGAGTAAGAATAAAAAAGAAAAATAACATCTTAGAATTATTCTGGCAGTAATGTTCATCTCAAGGACTTCCCAAGAGTCTCAAAGAGCTCTAGGAACCCCCAGACCATACTTTGAGAATCACTATTCTTTTTTTTTTTTTTTTAAGATTTTATTTATTTTTTGACACACAGAGAGAGAGACAGTGAGAGAGGGAACACAAGCGGGGGAGTGGGAGAGGGAGAAGCAGGCTTCCCGCTGAGCAGGGAGCCCGATGTGGGGCTCAATCCCAGGACCCCTGGACCATTACCTGAGCCGAAGGCAGACACTTAATGACTGAGCCACCCAGGCGCCCGAGAATCACAGAGAATCACTGCTCGGAACCATGGCACCAGTAAGATTTTAAGAACCCTCTGTTCCAAGACCCAGAGGCTCCCAATACACCTCTTAAACAGGCTAAACATTTCTGAATAGAAATTCATGGAGTATATAGTGGTGAATGAAAAAAGCAGAGTCTTAAAATTCATACACAATATTCTCAGATAACTTTTAACATACTATTAGTGTTGGAAAGTATTCTTTTTACTTTTTCTAAAATAGAAAAGAGAGATATTTCTAAAAGAGAAACACAGAGGGCGCCTGGGTGGCTCAGTTGGTTAAGCGACTGCCTTCGGCTCAGGTCATGATCCCGGAGTCCCTGGATCGAGTCCCACATTGGGCTCCCTGCTCAGCGGGGAGTCTGCTTCTCTCTCTGACCCTCTCTCCTCTCATGCTCTCTCTCCCTCTCTCTCAAATAAAAAAAAAAAAATCTTAAAAAAAAAAAAAGAGAAACACAGAAAAAAGCTGTAAGAAAATGCTTATCAGCATTTATGTTGAGGTCCTGGGGATATTAGCTTCTTTTATACTTTTCTACGAATAAGTAGTATAATCAGTCAATAATGAAAATTATAAAAATGTGATTAAGGAGAGTGATACTTTATAATATTAGAGAAATGTATGACTACCTCAGCTAAATTATCCAAATAAAGTCTTTTTTTTAAGATTTTATTTATTTATTTGACAGAGAGAGAGACAGCAAGAGAGGGAACACAAGCAGGGGGAGTGGGAGAGGGAGAAGCAGGCTTCCCGTCGAGCAGGGAGCCTGATGTGGGGCTCGATCCCAGGACCCTGGGATCATGACCTGAGCTGAAGGCAGACGCTTAACGACTGAGCCACCCAGGCATCCCCCAAATAAAGTCTTTAATTCCAGTTAAAACAGCTAGAAAATTCCCTCTTAGAAAAATACTTGGGCGCCTGGCTGGCTCAGTCAGTGGAGCGTGTGACCTGATCTCAGGGTTGTGAAGTCTGAACACCACCTTGGGTATGGAACCAACTTAGATAAAAATTTAAACATATATATTTTTTTTATAAAAAAGAAAAAAAACCTACTTGGTATTTAGAATGTTTCTACAGAGGGAGAGGGAAAAGAAAAGTAGCAATACCATCTTTGTCTTTGGGGAAAAAAAATCCCTAAATATCCAGATCAACTACTGTGGTTCTAAAGAGCTTATCAGACAACTGTGCTACAAAGAATATAGAAGAGAATGAATCTTCTCTTGACATCTTCTATATGTCTGACTGTCCACTTACTACTTCCAACTGCCTTCCTAGTATATATTTACACAGGGAAAGGCTCAATCATAAATTGACTTTACTTATATATGACAAAAGTATTTAAAGATCTGCTCAAAGTAATCACTTTCATTCTCTTCTACTAACTTCACAAAAGTAAAAGTAATAATTTTTTCAGGAGAAGATATTCCCATTCTCTCACAAGAAGTATTAAATGCAGCTGCCCCGTATTTTCTGGTTATATGCTCAACACAATATGCGGCTCTAGGCATGCCACTCTGACTATCCTACTGTACAGTCAGACTGTAAGCTACTCCCTCGTATTGCTAACATACAAACCCAGTATATTCATCTGATATAATCTTTTATTCTCTGTTATTTTCAACTTGAAATTCTAACCAAAAAACAACAACCTTTTAAGAACCAATGAACAAATTCAGTCAAGTTTCAGGATACAAAATCAACATACAAAAATCATTCTATGCATTTCTATACACTAACAACGAGCTATCTGAAAAAGAAATAAAGAAAATTATCCATTTACAATAGCATCAAAAACAATAAAATACCCAGGAATGAATTTAACCAAGGAGGAGAAAGATCTGTACAATGAAACCTCTAAGACAGTGAGGAAATAAGTTGAAAAAGACACAAATAAATGGAAAGATATCTGTGTTCATAAATACGAAGAGTTAATATTGTTAAAATGTCTATTTTACCCAAAGCCATTTATAGATTTAATATAATCTCTATCAAAATTCCAATGGCAATTTTCACAGAAATAGAAAATACAATCCTAAAATTCATATGGAACCACAAAAGACCCTGAGTAGAAAAAACAGTCTTGAGAAAGAACAAAGCTGGAGGTAACACACTTCCTGATTTCTAACTATATTACAAAGCTGTAATAATCAAAACAGTATGGTATTGGCATAAAAACAGATGCACAGACCAATGGAACAGAAGTGAGAGCCCAGAAATCAATCCACTCATATAAGGCCAACTAACATTTGACAAGGGAGCCAAGAATACTCAATGGGGAAAGGACAGTCTTTTCAATAAATGGTTCTGGGAAAACTAGACAGCCACATGCAAAAGAATGATATTGGATCTCTATCTTACAACACTCATAAAAATTAACTCAAAATGAATTAAGGACATAAACATAAGACCTAAAACTGTAAAATTCCTAGAAGAGAACATATCACTAATCATCAGGGAAATATAAATCAGAACCACAATGAGATATCAATTCACTTCTGTAAGAATAGCTATCATCAAAAAGACAAGAGATAACAAATGCTGGCAAGGATGCAGAGAAAAGGGAACCCATATGCACTGCTGGTGGGAATGTAAACTGGTGCAACCACTATGGAACAGAATAGAGGTTCCTCAAAAAATGAAAACTATATGGGGCGCCTGGGTGGCTCAGTCGTTAAGCGTCTGCCTTCGGCTTGGGTCATGGTCCCAGAGTCTGAGCCACTCAGGCACCCCTATGCATGAGACCTTAAGCCAGCCACAGATATGAGGAAAAAAAAAAACTTCGAAGGACTCTTACTTTTAATGAATTAATTTTTCCAGGAGACTTGAACCTTGTCATAGGAATAGCTAAGTGAAGTGGTGTCTAACCTAATAAAGAAGAGTTGGGGAACGAAGGGGAAAGGTGCAAAGAGAGAGATAGCTTATAGATATTATTAAACCTAGGAAGATTATTTCTCTCAGTGTACTTACTCTCTGGTTCCAGAGGGCAGGACCACTGCTCATGAGCAGAAATACAGGTAGGCATATTTTGGTCCAGTAAAAGGAATTACTTTCAGATGCTAAAAACTACTCAATAAAAGTATATTATCTCAGAAACCCTCAGGCTCCTCATTGTTGGAAATAATTAAATAGAGGGTGGAAAATTATCTGCCAGAGGTACTACTGAAGAGATTTTTGTATTGGGACAGAAGTTATTTGTGAAATGACTTCAGATCTCTTCTAATTCTAAGATGGTAATGTTTCAGCTTTATGGAAATGATCCAGGATGAAAACCCAAAAAGAAATAAATAGCTACAAGCAGGGCCTCCTATTGCTTCTTTGGAAATCTGGAAATTCAAGTCCCTCCCATCTAACCTCAGGCTTTTTTCTTAAAAGCTGCCAGCTGTCAACGAGTTCTAAGATTAAATCGAAGATTAAAAGGTATATTAGAGATGGTGGACTCCACACTACAGTAAACAGATGATCACGTTGACACTCTGAGAAATTAAGTTAAAAATTGAATAATAGAATCAAAATATGTGCTAGACTTCTCATTTCATATGCCAGCTTGTAAAAAACAGAGATATAGTCTTTAACTTTTAGGTGCTCAAAGTCTTAGACCCAATAATAACATATATTTTTAAATGCACAGGCCACAAAGACCAGAACAAAAACATGAATTATAGCCCAGCAATTGTGCTGCTTGGTATCTATCCAAAGGAGCTGAAAACTTATGTGCATACAAAAACCAGCACACAGGTGTTTACAGCAGCTTTATTCATAATTATCAAAACTTGGAAGTAATCCAGATGTAAATGGATAAACTGGTACATCCAGACAATGAAATATTATTTGGTGCTAAAAAGAAACGGGCTATTGGCCATAAAGACACGGAGGAACTTTAAATGGATATTACTAAGTGAAAGAAGCCAATCTGAAAAGGCTGTATGCTGTATGAGTCAAACTATATGACCTTCTGAAAAAGGCAAAACTATGGAGACAGTAAAAAGATCAGTGGCTGCCACAAGTTGGGGTGGTGGGAGAGAAAGGGATGAATAGGTGG